CTCTCGTAAGGATGAACTTGCTCTCTATAAAGCAAGCATCCGCGGGTGTTTGTGGAGTGGTGGAGGGAGAGGCGTGACCTGAGCCTTCAGGTGAGGCTGGGCTCCTGATTACAGCAGGGCCCCGAGTTCCTTCCTGGCTCCTCTGGCTGCCGCTCTAATCTTGCTGTTAATGGGGCTCAGGGGAGGCTTCAGCTAGGACAAGAGCAGACATCGTCCTCCCGCATCGCCCAGGGTGCTCAGGAATCCACGCCAGCTCTCACCTGTTGAAGGCTTTCACCAATTAGTCTTCCTTTCCAGAGCCTACATGGCTCTGCATCTGCTCCCTACATCTCGGTCTCCTCGGGTCTGTGGGCCCTATGGGATCCTCTGCCTGCTCTTCGCGGTGCTATAATTATCCTGTGGCTTCAGCTCAGACCTGGTGGCTCATGACCTTGAAGAGCCATGCTCTGGTCAGGAGGCATGCTATAGTCACTCCCGGCAGCCATCCTACCCCCGTTCTGGGCGAGATTTCCACGGAAAGAATGAACGTGAAATATCACCTTACACTGCGCAAGTGCTTTCCTGTTTATCAGCTGACTTCACACCTTTTACCCCACCCCGTCCTCACAATGGTCCCGTCAAGGAAAATGAGGCTCAGAGAACAGGGGGAGCCTGTACTGAGTTGTATAGTTGAGAAGCAGCTCAGCTGCTATGGAAACCCAAGTCCTGCGTTTTTTCCACTACTCTAGTGTTAAAAATCTCCTCCACCGCCCCAGCTCTGAGGAAGCAAAGAGTAAGGCCACCTCATGCCACAGGCGAGGGACCTCGGCATCTATGTAGACCTGCGCTGTGCCTGGTCAAAGGCCTCGATCACCCCTTCATCACCTGGGGCCCCATTCAGAGGGAGGAACCGAGCCAGAAAAATCTGGGGAGAAAGTCACCATCGTCCCTGGAATTCAAACACCACATCAGGCACCACAGCTGCAGTCTTTGCCATACTGGAATCTGAAGCCAACGCTAGGAGGTAGGCAATGATGGGGATGACTGTCAGGTACAGATGAGGAGGCTGAGACCAGGTAGGCGATTCGCTGATTAGATTCACGGACGGACAGCGAAGGCATGAAGCAACAGCTCAAGTTTATTGGAAGCCAAGTATATACTCTCAGACTGGAGAGCGGGCAAGCTCAGAGGGAGGTGCCCTAACTTGTTGTGGGTTTGGGGGTTTTATCTATTTCTCTAACAAACGGTGGAATATTCACGATCTTGAGTGGGCTCTATGTAGAAAGAAGGTGATTTTTCTTGGAATCAGACACCCCTTTTCTTGCCATGTTTGGGTTTTTCGGAATTGTCATGGCATCAGATGCATGATGGGTACAGCCTTAACAGCAATGCTAATTTATTATAATAGCTGTATAATGAGGAAGGAATTAGGCCAAAGGTGAAGAGGGCCTGATCTGCGCCTGCGTCTCTGTGGAAAGACCACCTGTATCTCTGGGTCAGGATGTTGTGGGCTTCGAGCTCCTCTAAGAGCCTATGGGGGCTCATGGTGATCACGTCCGGGCCTCAGTGGCTTTCTCACCTTCCTGCTCATACCTGTCTATCTGTCTGCTCCAACAACGGGGCCTAGCAGGGAGCTGTCATGAGCTGAAGACAGCAGAGTCCCGGCCGTCAGGCCACCAGGCTGAGCTGTCCTCACTTCCTTTTGATGAAAACATATCTCACCGGGCCCCTTTGCCGTGCACGGTGCCGCAGCAGCAGGAACTCACAGGTCCCTGACTTTCTGCCTCTGAGCAAGCAATGATTCAACGATACAGTTGGTCAAATGCACACTGTCTTTTTGTAAGTGGCTGTTTATTTACTTGTGTTCCGCCCAGCCAAGGGGAAGAATGGTTTTCAGTAATTGGCCACTTAGAAATGCATCTCTATGGGCCGAGCGGCCTAAGCGTCCCCAGGCCAGTGAAGTGCATGTTTGTGCCAGGGGTGGTGGGAGACTGTGAAACATGGACCACCTTGCTCTCTGCCTCAGTTTCCCCCTATGCAGAGTGGACATTCAGCCTTATCAACTCAGAAAATGGTCCATAATGGGTAAAGCATGTTTGTTGTTGGCAGAGGTCCCTGCAGCACAGCTTAGGGCTAGGAAAGTCAGGGACAAGTCTTCCTTATGAACCAGAACCAGGAACATGCTAGGCCATGAGGTTTCCCAGCATGCTCTGGGCTGCCCTCGAATTGCCTGGCAGGTTGCTGTGGTTACATTAGCAGAGAGAAGCCATTGTCTTTCCCTCCGTCTGGATTTTTCTTCCTCTTTTCTGTCCATCCCTTTCACTCTCTACCACCTGCCTCCTCTCTTGTTTCCTCATTTTAGGAAAGAACCATAAAGATCAGACTAGACTTTGAAAGCTTCCTCCTAACATTGATGCCTATAGTTTTTTGTGGGGGGGAGGAGGGGAAGGGGTGGAAGTTGTATTTGATCTGGGGTTGTTGGACCATACCGTGCCAGAGAGGCCGGAGGTGATCAGAGGCATGGAGCAGCTGTCTTCTCTGTACATGGTCTGCCCAGGCTCACCCCTTCCCCATCCTGACTGCCCCCCACCCCATGATAAGTAAGAGGGGAGAGGTCAGAGAGAAGTTTGAAATGCTCTACACATTATCTTCCCTGAGATGAACAATGCCTGTCTCCCCTTCTTCTGGTAGAAAGCCAAAAAAAATGCCACCCTGCAGCCCTGGAAAGCTCAGAGGTAGCCACTGTCACACAACTCCCCTGCAAGAGCCTGCCTGCTGGCTCTCCAGATGCCTTTTCCTTTGGCTGGATGGAAGCCTTTAGAAAGTGACACCTTGTATTTTATTTCATTCCTTTCTCTGAAAAGTCCAAAGACATTTACAGGCATGAGCTCTATGTGTTTTATGGAAGACTATCAAAAAGCGAAGCTTGTTTTCTTTATCGAGTGGAAAATAAAAGCATGGAAGGCAGAGTAACTCTTCGAAGGCCACCCAGGTCTTCCGAGAAAGAGGGGAAAGTCCAGTGTAGGCAGCTAGAACCTGGGAGAAACTGCTCAGAGGGGAGCACTGAGGGCTCTTCACCATCCATTGTCAAGGTCATTGCTGCTCTCCTGTAGGTAGGTCAGAACCCAGCTGTGACCCTCTGCGTATGTGGGCATCTGGAGGCCTGGAGTAAAACAGGGAGAGAGTCAGCTGAAGCACTGTGGGGAAAACATCCAGGGAATAGTCTCTTTAAGAAATAATAGGTGTTTCGGTCAAAAACGGTTTAGGGAATGAAATGTTTTGGGAAAGGCTGAGATCATGTTAAATACATTTCCTCCTAAAAAGACTTTTCAGACCTTTCTTGTAATTAATCATTATGAATCTCTTACATGATTTTAGACGGTACTATGTTTCCCAAAATTATTTGCCCAAGAAACCCTTTAATAGTAGAACGTCTTGGGGGTCTTGGCTTCCATGGAAGATACTTTTGGCAATGCTGGTGTAGGTATGGCAAGACCAGGGTCGCCTGTCTTTGCAATGCTTTAAAATAAATAAGGAGCCTGATCCTGGGAAGAGGCACCATTGTGGCTTCTTAAATTCGTTCATAAACCTTCTGCTTTTGTTTCCCCCGATTGTTTGTATACGTCTCTGTCATGATACTGTCATTCACGTATTAATGCTTCTGGTTCTCTATTCTGTACTTTTGAGTTCTCCTTTGTGTGTCTGCTCAATAGTAAATGTGTCGATGTGTAGGCCACAAACCTTCGTATACACCTGAACAGAACCATCTGGAGCCCATGCTCATGGGTGCTGGCCCAGGGCTTCCTGGGGTGATGGTGGTGATGGACAGTCTACGCTACCAAGATGGCACCTGGAGGGATTGTAGGAGGGACAGAGAGACCATGGGAGTACAGTGAAGAGAGACTCTAGAAATCTGTGGGTTTTTTTCCATCGTCCTGCAGGCTACTTAGATGACTGTTGACAGGTCACCTAGTTTCTCTGGGGCTGAGTTTTTCATGTAAAAAAGGAAGGATTTATGCCAGATGATTCATCTCTAAGAATTCTTCTAGCTCTCTAGTTCCCTGACCCAATACCTCTGTCAATTGCCCTAATTCTCGCCCCTAATTTTTTTCCTTTTTTATTTTCAGCTCTTAACCATTGATGATAACTTCTGTGGCCTGGATATGAATGCCCCCTTGGGTGTGTCTGAAATGGTACGTGGCATCCCCGTCTTCACAGAGGACAGGGACCGCATGACTTCTGTCATCGCATATGTCTACAAGAATCACTCTCTGGCCTTCGTGGGCACCAAAAGTGGCAAGCTGAAGAAGGTAGGAACGAGGTGCAGTCATTTTGTTGTTGCAAAGACGGTCTGTCCCCACTGGGATGGATGTTATCTCATGCTATTTTACTACCTTGCGCCTAGTGGATGAGTGATACAGGTTGGAGCTAAAGAGATACGTTACTGTCAAGGTCATGAGTGAAAACCTCACCCCTTAGTGAGGGACATATGAAGGTTGTCTTGGGAATCACAGGGGAGAGTGTGGATTCACTTCTTCGCTAGGGTTGGTGTGCATGTGGAGGTGTTACCCCCGCTTTGCTATGCCATTCTAAATGATGTACTCTGTCCACCCGGGGCTTGTGCCTAAGGCAAGAGCATTGTTAGGTCCGGACGGTTGAGGAAAGTGCATTGGGGCGAGGGACATGCCTGTTCCTCTTGCTTCAGCCCTTCTGGCCGGTGCATCCACATCTGGAATCCCCTCAGGGAAACTGATGGAGTAAAGTACAGGTGCTGCTGGAGTTGCTCATGGGGCCACATCATGGGACGAGGAAAACCCGGATGTTGTAGGCACATAGAAATCACTTGAAGTGGAGTAAGATGGTGTGATCTGGGGACATGAGCTTTCCTCCTCTTTCTATGGAAGCTGGCTGATGTTGGGGCCATTGGGTGACCTCGGTCCATCAGCGGTGTTGGGGGCACCTGTCCATCCGGGACTATGCTCTCACCCGGCTCTGTGCAGGCTTCTGATCACAATGAGTTGCAGCTGACCCGACAGGGTGCCCTTCTTGCTTGGATGAAAAGCCTTTCTAAGACTGTAGGCAGTAGGTCCCGTTTTGTGTTAGCTGATAATCATACTTCGGTCTCGTCCCAGAGATATGT